ATATATGTTTGATTGTGACAGGTATTATCATAGAAAGGCATTTTGTTAATTAATTTAAGATTTCTGAAATATGTTGTCAACCTTTGCAGATCTTTGCAGATCTCTTTGTTCTGTTAGTTTTCAGTTTTCCATGTATACTCAAGATTTCAGTGCTTGAATATTATCCCGATAAGAATTCATCTTTAAAAAATCACACATTTCAAAGTCAAATAAGATCTCAAGAGTCCCCAGAGGTCGTGATGACAAATTCGGTCAGGGCTTTGAAGTTATTCTGCAAAGATTTCAGCAGTTTGTTTGGACATTCTTTGTTGTTATTTTTTAAGCAGCATATCTGCAACCTGTCAAATGTTTGTGCAAGATTCACGTGACTTTAGGGTAATCCTGTCAAATCCTTTCCTCTCATGTCTGTCAATGTGGCACGTCTGGTAGCATGTTTATGTTGGAGCCATATAAAAAGATGCTTGGTCTAGGTCAGTGTTATGACGGAAACTGTGTGTCAGTTTTAGACGAATGAGGTCACCCCACCTGAGTTGTGAAGGTTGATGAGAAATTCTTCTCTATAAGATAAGGGTGGGTCCCTTGATTCAAATACCCAATGACCTCTTTAATTTTGAAAACTGCTTGTGACTTGAGTCATCATCCATGTTGTCTGGTGGATAGCGTGTGTGCCCAGCAGGTGGAAAGTCAGCGGTCAGTGCTGACAGAATTTAAAAGCTGATGCTTGTTGCCCTGCCTTGTGGTTGTCATTAAGGGGTTAAAACAAAGACTGATTGACTCAGATTCAGTATGCTGTATCCAAAGGGGTTTTCAAGGTTAAACTGTGACATGTATCTCAGTGGATTAGCATTAGTCCTGATTAGTAGCCATACACACACACATACATGAACATCTGTTCCTAATTGCTCATAGTCTGGAGGTTAAACCAGATTTCACCTCACCTCACCCTCACCCATCTCATATCTCACGTCACCTCACCTCCTCACCCTTACCTCGCCTCACGCCTCCTCAAACCAAAACTCACCACCTTACACCATGTGGTCATTGTTGTCATCGGTTCCCAATTGCGCAGATCGATGCTGATGCTGTTGTTTCACTGGATTGTCTGGTCCAGACTCAATTATTTACAGACTGTCGCCATATAGCTGGAATATTGCTGAGTGCGGCATAAAACTTCACTCACTCACTGTGGTCATTGTTTACAGTATTGTGTACATTTAACAGAGTTTATGCTTTTATTGCTATTTTTATCAAAGTGACGATAACTGCAAACCTTCCATATTTGCAACGTCACATTTCATTGAATGTTCTATTTCTACTGACCAATTTGTGTCGGAAGCTTAGCAGTTGTCAGTAAGCAGTAAAGGTCAATTGTTACATACAGTTCGTATGATCATGTTACGTAATCCAGATGATTGTATATATGTATTAATGAATATATTGTTAGCAATTTCAATGAAAAATGCGTTGGTCCATTAGACCAAATTCAGATGACCAAAATCTTTTTAACGTGAAGTACATGTGTATGTCTGATCTTGGTCTCGCCATCAGACCCACCTTCAGGTGTTCATGGGTGCAGCTGGTTGAGAGTTACACCATTGTTAACAGAAGTATGACAGACATGTGAGGAGTGTTGCTAAGAAATATACAGAATTTGGGATGGTCTGGGGACCTTCTTAGTCTCACAACAGGTTTTAAAAAGAAACAAATGAGAGACATGACAATGAGTTTGGTTGACACCATTTTAACAGTATGTCAGCTGGTGGATATCAAGCTGGATATGATGCAGATCAAAGGGACATAACTCTGCACTGTAAATCAAAGGTCCTTCAAATAAGTCCTTACTGCAACTGCCAAAGATGGAAAAGCACATGATTTTTATCTCAAATTTCCATGAACTAGTCCATGCATAAATAAGTCACCCCACAGCTGGTGGTGTGAAATATGTTGTTGTCTTTTGAAAAGTTATTGGTCCAGTATTTATCGAGAAGTGATTGATATTTGGTAAACGATTACCTATAAGTAGGATCTGGATCTAGCTTGGGGAGGAAACTTCATGAAACTGTTTCAAAATGCAATCAGATTAGCAGAGGTTTTACTTTCACGGACAATATATACCAGCCAAAATGTCAGTATATGGTAGAATCTACCAGCCAAATCTGTATTCTATGTATCCAGTAAGGCTGTTACGATTCACTCGTATATTTGCTGGGGCGGTGCAATATTACCGGTAAACTGGTATATATCAGTCAAGTATCTAGCGATACAAATATCACGATATGATTCAGATTCTGCAATATATTTTGTCATGCAGAGTTGCTGCATTGAAGTGAATTCTGTTGAAGCAAACAACACTGACCATGAAAATCATGTTACGCTATTAGTATTACCTTTATCATTATGTTTACCAAAATTTGTTGCAATACTTCCATTCCACATTAAGTCTCTATATCATTTTATTTATCTGTAAACCATTGGCATACAGCCAAACACAATAGGGATGGGGAGCCTGAAAGTATGGTATAACAGCAACCACCGGCAAACTGTAGCTCAAATAAAGTTGCACAACAGAGAAATAAATGATCAGTCTTCCTATTTGCGAGCACAGTGAGCAAAGGTTGGCAACATACTGCCCTCGCTTTGGTTCGAAAAATATTTTTAATGTGAAAACAAAATATCGCCACCATCAAAGGTAGACACCCATTTCCTCACAGGGTTGTGCTCTCAGATTTCGAACCTCATATTGAATAATTACTCACATAAAATATATTTTATTCAACATTTTAAGCGCCACTCGTGGCATATCACATCGTTCTTCACCTCCATTACCCCTGCCAGCTTCCAGTTCAGTTGAGTGAAGGAACAAGAATATGCAGAAATTAAACTGAAATATCATATTGCCTAATTTTACCTTTAAACTGTTGAAGGTTATTTATCTTACCTGCCATCGTTGTTAGAATTTTCATAAAATTATTTCATGAAAAACGCTTCTGACGTAGTGGGTGAATAAAAGCAAGAGAGGTAACTTTCCATATGGCCGTCATATGATTCAACAAGTATATATAGGGTTATCTCCCCTGTTCCTTCACTCCATTGAATAATACACCAAATACTACTTTGCTGTTGTATTCATTAATCAATAATCACATTCGTTACCCCCTATTCATGATATGTATCATGTTCACCTCACAGTGGAGTCAGTGCAGCCCTTGCGTCCAGTGGGTGAAACATAGCATATGATTTGCATAGGTCATATGATTTACATACTTGTCAAGTGGAGGGGTGTATGTTGAGGTAACATCTTTGAGCGGCATATTTAGAAGTTGATGAATCAGATAAGGACAAACTTTATGGATGAAAACTAATAAAGAAGTTGTTCATCCATTGTTTGTCCTTATCTGTATGTTTTGGGATTGGGCGACTGGAATTAACGCAACAATACAAGTAGACTAATGTTAAGGTCTAGTCTATGCTTAATATATAATTTTGATAGTAACAGAAATCACATGTAGATTGAGAAGGAGCCCCATAGTCTGTCGTACAGACCCTGAAGCAAATATATCCAAGAAAGCCTACCCAAGTCTAGAAAATGTGGCAAGTCTAGATTTCCTCAGCTTCTGAAAATGAAGAAAGTCTCAGGGCTCCTTTTCATTATATTTTATTTTTTTTACTATGAACTTTTTTTCAGTAAAATATGTTCATTTCAGAGACTAGTTGTTAGTCTAGGAGCCCCAGTGAGATGGGAGATTCATAGCCTGAAGAAATCTAGACTTGCTTCATTTAGTGCTTTACACATTAACATTGCAGGGAGGGCTAAGGCAGTAGGGAAAATAATGATGTTCAGCCACTGAGAGACAGACTACAGTACAAGCAGTGGTCGACTCAGCGTCATTATGCTGAATCTGTGTTAAAGTGCAGCAAGGTATCTGATGGGTTGACTAAAAAAACTGGCATTAGTTCAGACCCTTACAATCAGCCATGCACACATACATGACTACCACCAACACTATGAGCATCTTGAACATGATGTATTTCACCTCTCCATGTTCACTGACACTTACTATTACGTTTATCATCAGTCATGTACAGATATATTTTACAGAGTATATTCCCAAGTTTTAAAAGATAAAACAAAGTTACTAGTATGCATAATTTCTTTACCATCGACTTTTGTGACTCATGATTAATAGTTATTCGGTCCACAATATATTTCAGCCCTTAGTCTAACCAAAATATTTAAGGGAAGTTTTCAAGTCAGGCTTGTTGATTTTGGTTGATGCATGTTTTCTTATCCCATTTACTTAGATTGATGCTCATGATATCATTTACATGGGATTATTTATAAGATTATTTCTAGACCAAAGCCCATTTCTTGTGTCCTCCATTTTGATGTTGCTGGAATATTGCTTAAAGCGGTAAAACCAAACTCAGACAGTCAGTCAGTCTAGACCAAAGCCATATAGTTGGAATATTATTAGGGAATGCAGTGAATGTATGCTTGCACTCACTCACTCACTCACTCACTCACTCACATGCTTGCACTCACTCACTCACTCACTCACTCACTCACTCACTCAAGTGGCTTATTAGAAGAGTATAAGGTGTCTATTATCAATGATCTGAATGTAAACAAACCTGTGGCTGTATTTTTGATAAACAGCTGTCAATATGTTGTCAATAGTTTTGTTTGACACACATTAATATGATTAATGTACTGAATATATACTGTTAGGAGTACACAAGACTAAATATCTAGGATAGTTCTATTTGTCGCTTGACTAGCTTGCCCTTCAGATGATCTTGTCCCATATCACAACTTGTTTTTGACATATGATTCAAAATAGCCATCGATATTTTGTGTTCTGCTTGTCTAGTTAAGAACAGGCTCACTCTGTGTTAGCTGACAGGGGATGTCATAGAGAATGAACATTAATCCTCCCTTGTCACATGGTAGTGTCCCTGCCTTCCTGTTGGTGTAGAGGCTATACATTGTACCTAAACCATACCCCTGTACTCCACATCCCGACTCATCTGCCTCAGGCCCTCGAGGTGTTAACTTGACAGCCTGCAGTTTCTTCTGTATTTTGTATTTTTTCAGTTTGACCACTGCTCACGAACTGGTTGTAAATTGAAATAAGACTTTTGTTTATGTTACTTTTATGGATCGGCAGCTTTATTGATCACTGTAACCTTCTTTGACTGGTCCATGAGATTTGTCATCGTGTTTGGAACACCTGTGACAGCTGCATATGAACTGACGTCTGCCTTGCATAACTGGTGCCCATTTTGTAGCTGGTGTTAAAAGGTTTCAGTCATGGTGACTCTCTCTCCACGGAAACATCTGTCGAAGACAAGGCTTGTCTTGGATGGGTTGGTGAAGCCAGCGGTCAGCGTGAGTGTCCAGTATGTGGCCCGAGTTGTCCCGGAGCCGCTGTTTGCAGTCCTAGTGCAGCTGGTGGAGTTCTTGGCCTGTCTCTTCTGGCCGATCCTTGCACTAATGCCTCAGACTCATGATGAGAAGGTAGGATGACGGTTTCCAGAATTTGGGTTGAGAGGGGACTTGCAGTAATAATATTTTGTGTAGACTGATCCAGAGGACTATATATATTTCTGGGACTTCATGTACATGGTTCATAATGGCCGAGTTAAAATAAGTATCTTTGTTCCGTTCCACGAAGCGACCGTAGTGTTCAGGTGAGCTTAACTCCAATAGTTTAACATAGACTTAAAACTGTTATAGCTCTGCTGTTGCTTTGTGGAACGGGACCCAGGTGTCATGGGATGGGATCCAAACTCAAATATTTACAGACTGTTGTCATAGTGATTGTGGAAATGAACAATAGAACATATGGGTATCATTTGTCTCAAATGTTATCGTCTAGATATGTTACAAGAGAACTGGCTTTTGATATGAGTTGTATTGCAACCTTCATCGGTACAACGGCTGGAGAAACAACCACAACACTGTTAGTGAGTAGTCAGTCAAGCAAATATTGAAAAACACAAATATCTAAAAAAACAAAAACACCTGTTAAGATACAGGTTATAACTGGTCTTCAGCAATCCATGTTTGTTGTATGACTAAGAGGATCAAGTGGTCAGATTTGCTGATTTGTAGTTGATACTTGTCGTCAGATCCCAGTTGTTTAGATCGATGTTCATAATGTTGATCATAGGATTGTCTGGCCCAGACTCCCATTATTTACTGACTGCCGCCATATAGCTGGAAAATTGCTGAGTGGGACATTAAACAACAAACAAAACAGAACACAATGTTTAACAACATATTGTTAACAGATGGTGAGAATATTGATCAGGTTCTGTTTCATCTATAGTGATTTTGTCACTGCAGAACTTATATAACAATGCAGGTGGCCCAGTTGTCAGAGGCCTTTAGGCATGCCTACCTCAGTACCTGTGAAGATCAGGGTTAGAATTGGCCTTCAGCAACCCATGCTTGCCGTAAGAGGCGACTAACGAGATCGGGTAGTCAGCCTCGCTGACTTGGTTGACACATGTCATTGTATCCCAAATGTGTAGAACGGTGCTCATGATGTTGATCACTGGATTGTCTGGTCCAGACTTGTTTATTTATAGACCACCGCCATATAGCTGGAATATTGGCTCAATGGCTGAATGCAGCGTAAAACTAAACTCTCTCACTTTATGCATGCCACAAACCTGTAGGTCCAATCCTGGTTTCCTCCCAGCTTGTCTGATCATGTGTCATTGTGACCTGATGGTTACAAAGTGTGTCCTGTCTGACCGTGTGTCATTGTGCCCTAAAGCTTACAAAATGTGACCTGTCTGATCATGTGTCATTGTGACCCAGTGGTTACAAAGTGTCCTGTCCGACCATGCACCATTGTGAGCTGTCTGACCATGTGTCATTGTGCCATGATGGTTACAAAGTGTGACCTGTCTGACCATGTGTCATTGTGACCTGTCTGACAATGTGTCATTGTGACCTGTCTGACCATGTGTCATTGTGACCTGTCTGACCATGTGTCATTGTGACCTGATGGTTACAAAATGTGAGTTGTCTGACCATGTGTCATTGTGACCTGAAAGCTTACAAAATGTGACATGTCTGACCTTGTGTTCTTTACCAGTGGTGGATTAACATATTAACTTACTCTTCTTCTTTACCAGTGTTGGACATATTCCTAAATTTGTGACAATGTTAAATGTCCATTTTCTTTACATACTTGTATACACCTGTAATCCATTTTTAGATGTTTAAAATGAGCCATGCCCTGATTTTTACATCATTTAGATTATACGTTTTGTCAGCTCCACCAAACTATATCCACTTAGATATGTTTATGACAATGTAACCACACAGCAGTGCTTATCACTACATCAAACTGATCGTCATATGTGAGTGGAGAATGAACCCTGTGCCCCTATCCTCTTCCAAATAGAATCTGCCTGTAATGGTGTTCTGCTTGAAAACACCCATAGCATGTTTGAAAGACACCACATAGATCCAGATATGGAGAAGGCTTTTAGTTGGCAGGTCCTGTGATCACAGTAAATCCCATGGGCCATATCTTGAAATTTTCATTATGTCATTTTGTTTGTGTTCATATTTGTTCATAAATAAGTAAAAGCTGATAAGATTGATAAAATTGTTAGAACACTCCAATAGGTATGCCGCTAAACTTCATGAAGTATTTTTCCTTATTCAACCTGCAACTTTTGAAATTTTCCCTTTTAAATTATGATGCTTATGACTGTTTATAATATAATTGTTGAATGATAACCTAGTATTATAACTGGGGAGATGTATACAAGACCTGTTTACCGGTCTCCAAGACTGTGGAGAATGTATTAACGAAGGAGTTCAACTCATGTCAAGAATGATTGGGAAAGAATGTCTCAGATCAAGGTACTTGTGAAGATCCGGCTTGTCGTAACAGGCGACTAACGGGATCGGGAGGTCAGGTTCACTGACTTCGTTGACACATGTCATCATATACCAGTTGTGTAGATCCATGTTTATGATGTTGACCACTGGATTGTCTGGTCCAAACTTGATTATTTACAGATCGCCGTCACATAACTGGACTATTGCTGAGGCATTAAACAAACAAAAAATAAAATCTGATCGAGGTATGTTCTAGGCTTTGTTTGGGTTTTACTTTTTTATATTTTTTATATTATTAATTCAGATTTTTATTTCTGTTGAGATGTTATTTTTGTAATGTGGATGAAATACTTCAGTATTGTAACTACCCCTACCCCTTATGTTCATGTGGTTAGAGCACCTGTCTGGCTGTCAGTAAGGCGTGTGACTTTGTTGATTGCGTGTTATCATGTCCTGACAGCATAGATTTTTGCTCTTTATATCAATAATTCACTTGTTTGGTCCAAATATGACAATTTACATGCTCCCACCAAATAGCTGGAATCTTGCTGAGTGATACGTTAAAAACCAAATTATCGACCAAGGTAATTGTGGGAAAGGTAATGAACACAACTACCAATAACTCTCAGTATTTTTATGTGTTCCGTAATTTATCCTCATCAGTATATTGGTATATATAATGTATATTGACCAACTTGAAAACATTACAGGGCACTTTTGGAAAAATATTGAATGTAACAATTATAGTTAACCATCAATATTTCTTCGTTCCTTTTATTCCCCATCAGTATTAATGGTATATATGGTGAATATTGACCAAGCAGAAACCATTGCAATTCAGTATTTATGTGTTCCACTATTTATTTCCATGAGTATTATATCCTATATTGACCTAGTAATAAATTCTAGGATGCAGTTGGGAATGTATTGACAATTGAGGACATACATGTACTTTGTTGGTGACAGCTGATGGTTCTGATGAGGCTGGTCTGATATTCTGTGTGGTCTGGTGCTGCCACCTGTTGTTGAAACAATAAACTGTGTGTGGTGACGTGTTCTTCAAAGTGCCCTACTTTCCCTGGTGTTCCCAAAACATGTCTGTTCCCCTGCATTACTGAAGTTGTTGGGTGCTATGGAATGTAATGTGTCAGTATAGGGCTGAGGGGTCATGTCATACTGAATAGTTTCAAATGTGTTTGACAGTGTTTGCTTAATGAAATGGCCTAGCTTGATAGATAGTTTATTACTTTGGTTATCAATAATATATTTAGGTTGGTTGTTTGTTTAACGCCACACTCTCAGCAATATTCCAGCTATATGGCGGTCAGTAAATAATGGAATCTGGACCAGACAATATAGTGATCAACAGCATGAGCATCAATCTACTAACTGGGATATGATGACATGTGTTAACCAAGTCAGCGACCCTGACCACCCGATCCCGTTAGTCACCTTTTACGAGGATTGGGATAGCCTAGTGATGAAAGCGTTAAGCTTGTCATGCCAGACCAGGGTTTGATTCCCCATGGGTACAATGTGTGAAGCCCATTTCTGGTGTACCCCCCGTGATAATGCTGGAATATTGCTAAAAGCGGCGTAAAACTAAACTCACTCACTCACTGTTACGACAGGCACGGGTTGTTGTGAAGAGCTTCACAGGTAAGTATATTTAGGGCTATCGTTGATTGAATATGTTTTGTGGCCTTGCCCAGTGCATTGTCTTCCCACAGAGATTTCTTGTCATATCTTCCTCTCGAACCTCTGTTTAATGCGGCCATATTTCCCAGTTCTTACAAAATCCCTAGGGGCAAAATACATAATCACGAATTATCTCCTTCTTTCTATCCAATCAGAACACGTGTTACATCGACTTAGATCCAACTTACTAATGCAAGAAAATATGGGGCCACAAATATCCCTCCTCTGCCAGGGGGACTTGTGTTGATGTGACACATAAGACCATTTAATGGCTAGCTTGTCCATTGTCAGCGGCTAGCTTGACCATTGTCAGCGAGGAGCTATTGATCCGCCATTACATGACTGGAGTTTTGTCTAGAAGAAATGTTTGGGCATCACGCCGCGGGGAAGAGAGTTCTAGTTTTCGAGGCATCTGAAAATTACCAAGGCCTTGTGAATGATCACTTTTGAAACAACGTAAGCTGATTGCACAACTAAATCTGATTGCAACCAATCATGAATCGGAACTCTGGCACCATAAAGGGGCTGTATTAGACCCTTATTCTAATAAGATCCCTCATAACTAAGAAGTAGCTTTAGGGTTGCAAAAAGAAAAAGGAAATCTTCATGTCTGTGTCTATATAAAAAAATTAATTGAAATCTTCATGTCTGTATATATATATAATAAATTAATTGTCTGTATCGATATAATAAATTAATTGAAATCTTCATGTCTGTATCTATATAAAAAATTAATTGAAATCTTCATGTCTGTATATATATATATAATAAATTAATTGTCTGTATCTATATAATATATTAATTGAAATCTTCATGTCTGTATATATATATAATAAATTAATTGTCTGTATCTATATAATAAATTAACTGAAATCTTCATTAATTGTCTGTCTGATTATCGTTCATTAACCCAGGGGCCGGTTCGGGTGCGGGGACGGTTTGGGTTAAATATC